CAGGAAGTGTGAGTTACGAAGTCTGAAGAAAATGTTGAACGGCCTCTGCTGGGATGGCGACTACACCATAGCTCAGTGGTTAGAGCATCGCTGGCTACAAGCGAGGGTCCCTGGTTCGAGTCCTGGTGGTGACAGTCAATTTTTTCTTCAGACTTTTCCCGTTTGTCTCTTTCCCTCAAACCAGTTAATATTTTATGACTTGGGGCTCCCCGCGTGCTAGTTTGTACGTGAAGTGTGTGGGTTACAGTGAGGGCTGCGTCCCACCCGCCTGTGTGGATTCACAGGAAGTGTGAGTTACGAAGTCTGAAGAAAATGTTGAACGGCCTCTGCTGGGATGGCGACTACACCATAGCTCAGTGGTTAGAGCATCGCTGGCTACAAGCGAGGGTCCCTGGTTCGAGTCCTGGTGGTGACAGTCAATTTTTTCTTCAGACTTTTCCCGTTTGTCTCTTTCCCTCAAACCAGTTATTATTATTATTATTATTATTTAGTGGTGAAACGAATATACCGAATATTCGAATGTTCGTTCCGTTTGTCACATTCGAACGAATATTTCTCATGGCGAATATTCGCTAACCGGGTATGCAGAGTGTACCGGGCGACTTCAAACTTCCGTAAATTCGCGAATACTTGACCGAACCGCTTCATCGAAAGTTCCATCGGCATTCAGGGGCGTAGCCAGGATAGTGATCAAGGGGGGGGGGGGGGGTGCTACGACTTTCTCCACATAAAAGTACATTTAGGTTGGTCCTTTCATGCATATTATTCGATCCGTGAATTTGGGGTGGGGGGGGGGGGAGCAAAATTCGCCTCTAATTCGACGCTGAATATCAATCAGCGAATGGAAAATCTCCAACCAGGGAGTAGTAATGATTATGGTATTTTACTACACCCTGGCCTGCTTCCAACTAATGATGGACTAAGTCCTGGATGCTGCTTTCTCCAGAATTATCACACTCTCCATCGAACTTTTAAAGTGGGATTTCTCGAGCCATTTTTCCCCTTCGTCATGTTTGATAGTGCAGCAAGGCATCCTTGATCAAACCTACACTATTCCCCACAAAAACTCAAACTGCACTTCAACGTTACTTTCACTCTTCTACTGCTGTATCCACGTTTGCAAATGCATGAAAGAAACTTTGCCTTTCCACAACGAGACCAATTAACAGCGAGAACTACATTATTCAAATCATAGCGAGAACAAACTGCTATGTCTGACGTGTGCTTTCCAGCCATAGACCGCGTTGCTACTTCCTTGCTTCTACCAATGGCGTGTTTGTATGATTCTTTGCTTCTATAAACAAAACATGTGGAGTGCGATACAAATCATGTGCTGAACCTGCTGAGGCCTGATGTGACACTGCACAACGGCAGGTACGAAGCGGAGTTCCCTTGACTAGAAATTTCATCGCAAAATGGCCAATCATGAGACAAAAATTAATAGTCCACTGCATGTGGATTGGTTTCAGATACATTGTACTTGCAGGTCTGAACCAGGGAGTAGTACCTACTAGTACCTACTACTCCCTGGTCTAAAACAGGGATGGCTACAGTGTGCGATGTGCAGAGTTGCGCATGTGATCAGTGGGTCTGCCTCTCTCGAACCAGCTGTGAACCAAGATCGAACTTTTTGAGGGGGTGCTTTGGCACCCAAAGCACCCCCCCCCCCCCTGCCTACGCCCCTGGCATTAGAAAACTCTCAGCTATCGTCTCGAAGCTACTCGGACTCTTGGAATGGAGTTATGGCGGTCGAACGAAAAATCACGTCTTGAGCTGTTTTTTGAGCGTGTAAAATGCACTTCAGCTGGGGATTTTGTGAAAAATGACCTAGAAATAGTGGAGAAATATGTGCCTTCGTTTGTCATGCCTAATAATAGTGACAATATCTAATAAAATGACTGAGAGGAGGGTGTGTGATGTCTACGTGTTAACGAAAGAATATTCGTTCGTTCGTTCGTTAAGCCAAAGAATATTCGGCTACTGGGTTTTGATATTCGTTTCACCACTATTATTATTATCATTATGAATGATATACTATAGTACACATGTACATCTGGTGGCCAGACGAGTTGTTGTGAATGTGGACAGCCTGTAGCAACGAGCTCAAACCACTACAGTACAACCTTTCCGAAATTATAGCATTCAACCCCTGCAAAATTGATGTTGTCTCAAGGCGGCCACCCGTACTCTCTTTGCGGGGCCTGGGTATCCAAAGCAACTTCTGAACGTTTTTTCTAGCAAGCTGCACTGCATTGTTGCGTATCACTTACCGAATCGTTCCGAACGCTCAACCTCTTCGTGTTTCGTCGGACTCGACGCTGCAGTGTCGGGACTACGTAGTGTCAGCTGCATTAATTTTGCTTTCATCCGTCACGGATGCAGCACCACCAAGAGCTCTGAGAGGCAAGTACACGGTAAAGGTATAGTTTAGGGTCCCAAATTATTTTAGTGGGTCAGCATGCTCTACAGAGTCCCAGGCATGCACATTACACATAGGCCTTGGCCACTGTGACAACTGACATCGAGTACGATGTGGATGGACAACCACTGGTGTATGCAAAATCACCTTACGATGCGAACGAAGACGGCGCAAAGGACCATGAAAATCGCCTGAGTCACTAGTTGAAGCTCGGTGATGCCGTGCGTGTCTTGAACACCTCCATGGGCAAGGGATGGTGGTGGGTCAAGTCGATGGCGAGTCTGGCTACGTTTCATCATCATTCCTTGGCACTGAGGATGACCTGCGCGGCGCGGAGGAAGCCTCCTGGCAGAACGACGAATATGATGACTTCTACCCACCACCTTCCCTTGCCCATGGAGGTGTTCAAGACACGCACGGCATCACCGAGCTTCAAACTCAGACAATTTTCATGGTCCTTTGCGCCGTCTTCGTTCGCATCGTAAGGTGATTTTGCATACACCAGTGGTTGTCCATCCACATCGTATTCGATGTCAGTTGTGGCCAAGGCCTATGTGTAATGTGCATGCCTGGGACTCTGTAGAGCATGCTGACCCACTAAAATAATTTGGGACCCTAAACTATACCTTTACCCTCCATTCTTCTTTCCGTAGTTGCTGGAGAAAGGCAAGGGAATAATCTCTGAATTTGTTGAAAACTCGAAATGCCATACCAGATACTGTGCCCACACTACACGCAAACGGAGTTCATGAAAAAAGCATGCAGTTACTAACTAACGGAACGCTTTCTGGCTGTGTAGGCCATAGGCTATCCTAGGGCAGACTAACCGTCTCCACAGTGCAGTGCACAAACTGAATTATTATTGTTCTGAAGGAAACAGCTTTCTTGAGAAAGTCGAGGTGCGATGGTTGGCGAGTGACTTGTGTCAAAAACTCTGCACCTACTGTGACCTAGGCTATTCTCCTACTAGTCCTAGTCCTAGACGTACCTAGTACCTAGTGCCGAGCTCGGGAACTGACTTTTGTCTCGTGTTTCACACTTCCCTGATACCCCTCCCCGCCCCCCCCCCCCCCCCCCCCCCCCTCCAGCAATCCAACGAATGCAAGTGGGCTCTTTTGAGCCCCATCCCTCCCCTCACCCAGCCTACCCTTCAATTACTATGATTGGAAAATGGCGTTTGAAAGACATTCAATAATCTAAGCACTATTACACACCGTTGAGTCAGACTGCCAATATAAGGCAAGAACGGCGGGTTACACTATTCGTCGCAGGAAATGACCAAATAAACATTCACTCACATTCACTGGTTTGAGGGAAAGACACAAACGGGAAAAGTCTGTCACCACCAGGACTCGAAACTAGGGACCTTCGCTTGTAGCCAGCGATGCTCTAACCACTGAGTTATGGTGTAGTCGTCATCCCAGCAGAGACCGTTCAACATTTCCTTCAGACTTCGTAACTCATACTTCCTGCGAATCCACACAGGCGGGTGGGACGCAGCCCTCAGTAGGCCTCACTGTAACATTCCTAGTGAATAGCGATGTTTTAGCGACAAACATCAGCAACCTTCTCTACATACAATAATAATAACTGACGGACATGTAATGGTTGCAGATTCTGACTTCAACACAAGAAATAAATTGTCGTAGCGCAGGAACGCAAACGGATAGATAAACACACACAGACTCATGAAGTTGATTGTTCCAACTAGGAACACACGCTTCTTGCGTGTGTTCCTAGTTGGAACAATCAACTTCATGACTATTACCGCCGAAGTCGAAACTTCTAAGTTTACACATAGACTCGTACATAGCTAGATAAACCCCTCCAGGGGCGTCGGAATGTATTTTGGTGTGGTACGGTCAGCCATCTGAAGTACGATTTACTCGTGGGGGGAGGGATAGCTAAGCCGAAAAGTTTGGAAATTCAGTTAGAGCCCAAATCAGTGTATTTTATTGATTCACGGGGTACTTGTGGCAACTAGTGGTACGGTCAATACCGTTGTGACCGTAGCGTGTGCGACGCCCCTGCACACACACAACATTCAATAATTATATAATACAATACACAAGCGTTCAAACACACGCACGCACGCTCGTGCACACACGCACGCACGCACACACACACACACACACACACACACACACACACACACACACACACACACACACACACACACACACACACACACAATACAATACAATAATGCCCATCCGGAGATGATGGCAGGTCCTGAAAGGACCGACAGTGTTTCAGTCACTCGGAACAGAACTTCGAGTGGCGAGCGAGGTCCTGGTGACGGCGAAAATCTCGGCCGCAGTGGCACCTGAAATCTCGAGACGCAGGTTTAGGCTGCTGGATGGTGTTGCAGGCCAGTCTCCACGCACGACGGTCCTCGGCTAGGCCGTACTAGTCATTGATGTGGCGTTCCTCCACACACACATATACCCCTCCCCACACACACGCATGCATGCACAGTCACACACGGTCACACACACACACACACACACACACACACATACACACACACACACACACACACACACACACACACACAATTCACCAAGTGGCACACAGCAAGTCGGAAAGAATATAAATCAGTTGGATAACAATTCTTTCATGTACAGAATAGCCTCTCACATTGCTATCATGTCAAAAAGGCAGAACATAGTGGTCAATGCCAAAAGGAAATTTGAGGGTAATATTGTGCCGATATGGGCACTGAAACTGATAATGGTGTATCTCTGGAGGAACCGTGGAGGAACCGTGGTACATGCCTAATCGAAGAGCTTTCTAAAAAAACATCATTTTTGTCTACAGATCTGTGAGCAAAATGCTTATCTCGGATATCAGACTACATAGAAATTGTTATAGCGAGGAAGCACTGAAGGATACAAACAGGTTTACCAAATCCATGCTTTCGCAGCAGGTACAAGATTTCGCAGGCAATTGACGCTTTTGCTGCAGCAGACATTATATGCTTTCATAGCAAACACAAGCTTTCACAGCAGATTGCAGTAGATAACAGTCATACTTTAGCAGCAGACATATGTTTTCGCAGCACCAAAAATAATGTGCTTTCGCAGTACTTGTAGGCTTTTAAAACCAAGTGATCGAGATAGGCAAACATAACCAAAGAATTGCACAATAACACGATAATTAGACGTGCTGACAACATGAAAGAATAGCTGACACTATGGTCCAAAAACAAAATCGCAATCATCTTGGAATACATGCACACAGCATGCAGGAGCAATCATGCAGTTACGTAAAGAAAAAGCGCAAACAACAAGCGCAAACAAATGCATGAAAAAGTGGACGCACCCAGATGCGCGGGTGCAGTGTGCCCTGATGTGCGGGCACACTATGCCCTGATGTGCGGGCACAGGCTTCGACGGCGGCAGAGTGCTAACTCACGTTACGGTGCGCTACGGACTCTGCGGACACGACCTTGGCTTGACCTGCTCACGGCTTTCGTCCTGGGCGGCATTCGGTGCACGATGATGTCATCTCGGTCCGGTTGACCATGATGATGATGTCATCTTGGTCACGTTGCCCGTGATGACGATGGCAGTTGGTGCACGTCAGGTACCTCAGGAACCATGGCAGTGATGGGACCCCGGGGAAGGCCACGAAACGATGAGGGTATACGGTTGCTCAGCACTGGGGGAAGGGCGGGGAGGGAGGGGGGGGGGGGGAGTGTAGAGTTGTCGTGTAGTGTGTGTGTGTGTGTGTGTGTGTGTGTGTACGTGATTGTGTGTGTATGCGTGTGTACGTGTGTTTGTGTGTGTGTACGCGTGCATGTGTGTACATGTGTGTGTGTACGTGTGTGTGTGTACGTGTGTGTGTGTATTCTAAGAAAGCAAAACAAAACATGACTAGTCTACACAATACAAGTACATATAATACACAGAAAGCCACAATAGATAGCCAGTCAACAAGCCATCCGGCAACGAGTCTGTGATGGCACGTGCATACACTGAGCTAGCCTGGAAGAGGTGACACCCAGACCAACACACGCAGCAGGTGCAACGGCGACATAGCACTCACAGCCGACGGAGGAGATCAACAGCCGGGGGAGAACACGCCAATGAGTCACACGGCAACGGCACGCGGCCTCGGAGCACGGCAGCTCAAAGCACTAGAAGCGTATGGAACGTCTGCAACACAGCCTCGACCAACCAAACATCAGGCAACCGTCAACGGACACACATCCTGCCTTCAAAGAACCCCTAGATTGTCATATACCTTAATGTTATGCCGAAGCAGCCCAAGAGCCCTACCCTAGTCTATTGGGGATGAGCCCTTGGGCTACACCCTCTAACAATCCGATATACAGCTATCGGAGAAGTGACAGGCTTACTCGCTGGAACGGAGTAAGCCGTATCGGCGACTTGTGTGTCCGTCCGTTGGTGGAGCGGATGGCGGAGACGGAGCGAGCGGTGACGTCTCGCTTCAGCGCTGTTGCTGTGGCGACGGTGTGACTCGTACTGCAAAGCTGAGGCCCATCGCATGCCATACGGTGATGGCGGGATGGGCTGCACGGAGGCGGCAGTCATAGCTGCAGCATTGGATGCACATACTGCATTCACAATCTCAGCTGCGCTGCACTGCCCCGGGCGATAGCGAGCAGAAACGAGCAGAAACGACAGGGCCGACCGACACGTTCGAACGCGTCGGTACCGGAATAAGCCTGGCTCAGCTTGACGAAATTTGACATGATGCTGAGCCTTAACTTTGGAGAAGAAATGGCTGAAATCCTCGCCGCCATTGGTGATGAACAACTCTTGAGAATGGCTGAGATCTCTATAGTCATTAGTGATGAACTTAAATCTGTACTTGTTGCTTTGGATGGTGTGATGTCAGTATGATGTCAGGTATGACATCATCACCGCTGGTGTCCAGTAACAAGACAGTGCAGGATTTGTCACCAACCTCCGGTCCGAATACCAGACCGGAATGGAATGTAAATTGCATAGAGTTGAGACCCGACGGATGGCTAGACTTGGCTTGTCTTGAGTGGCTGAAGAATGGTATTACTGGTACTGAGGTACAACTATAGAGCTACTTGAACTAACGCAAATACAGCAAGGCGGACACTTGAACAACTTTGAGTACCGAGCCCAAATGTGGGATTAGCAGGAAGAAGCGATAGAGCGGTAAAGAAATTGTTTCTTGTAGAGTGGGTTGGCGTTCCACCAGAGCATGGGCGAATAGACGGTTGTCTGCCGTTGAAGATCAGCATGAGCACGCAGTCAGAGGATGACGCTGTTGTTGTTGGCGGCTCTCTTCTGATGGTGTGGTCACAGAGTCGATGGGGGATACGGCCAAATCAACAGTACAACATAACATGATAATGCCCCGTAGGGCTGCAACATACATAAATATGAATGCATTGGAATACGAGGGAGATGGCCGTAAGGTGTAACCTTGCTGCAGTTGAACATTCACATGAGCGTGGTTCCGTCAGGTTGTGATGCTCTGGTGGTAGTTGTTGGTTGGAGTGATGTCATTATGACAAGGCGATGATGTTATGGTTGCAGATATTATAAGTGATGTAACCATGACAGGGTGATGATTTAATGACACAAAGATTTATTGATTTATTTTTTGAAACAAATAAAATGTTTGGCACCTATGAAGTCAGGGGATGGCCCACGCCTGGTAAAAAAAGTGATGATGTAATGGTTGCAGATGTAAGCGATGTAATCAGAGTGTGGTAACGCGGTAATGTTGCAGTAGCTGTTGATGAGGTAGACGAAATCAGGACATGGCATGATGTAATGGCTGTTAGTGGGGTGGTGAAATCAGGAAGTGATATGATATAATAGTTGTCGGTGAGGGTGACGAAATCAGAACGTGGCGATAGCACAGTAGACGTAGAGTGGAGGCGAATAGATTGCGATTACAGTATGAGCGAGACGCTGACACAGAGAGAGAGAGAGAGGCGTATGACGTTGACATAGGGCAGTCGAGGAGACACGAAACTGTCATTGTTGAGTAGAGTAGAGTCACAACGGTATAGAGTTGTGGAGAATGAAACTAGGGATACGACAATGGCGAATGTCGGAAACAAACGTCGCGTGGGAGAATAGAATACATCAGCAGAGGTGTTGCATGTGACTATGAAATCCATACTACGAAAAGACAAGTGACGTGGCTGATTGTAGTGTGACGTCCGGGGCTGGTGAGAGGTGAGTGGAGTCGTGAAGTTACTACTCCACACATAGAGATAACTATCGTACGGGTATAGGATAATAGAGAGGTGAGTGGAGTCGTTAAGTTACTACTCCCCACACAGAGATAACTGTCATACGAGTATAGGATAATATAGAGGTGAGTGAAGTCGTGAAGTTACTACTCCACACACGGAGATAACATACGGGTTTTAGAGTATTGCTGAAAAGAGAAGTGGATGAGCGAGTTGATAGATATATGAGTGGTGCAAGAATGATAGGCTATGTTGCTGTGTGTAGTGTGATGTCATTGTAGTAAATAGATCAGGGAACACAAGCTGATTGGGATGTGGTGATAGATAGAGAGCGGAAGCAGGACAGGATGGGAGTCGGTACTCATGTTGGACGGGGGGACAGGCTGGGCAGGACTGGGGAGAGGACGGGCAGGAGGGGGGGGGGGGAGGGCGGGACGGGTGCTGAGCATACCTCACCGTTTCACAACGATCCCCGAGTTAATGGTTGTCAAGACCGGTCGTGTCCATCTTGATGCGCAGATAGAGCGTGTCGTTCTTCGCGTACTGGTGCGGTGCTGCCTGGATGATCTTGTGCGACACAAAGCAAGGGCAGCCTGGGAACACAAGGCAGAACAGTGGTCCAGAGAAACGGTGCATACATACAGTCAACTTCGCTGATAACGACTGCGGATATAACGACAATTCGCGAATACCGACAGAATTCATGCCCAGAGCAAAGTCCCATCCAACTGTAATACATATAATGAGACTTCGGGTATAACGACACTTCGCGAATAAGGACACTTTTCTGATGCCCCGCCGAGTGTCGTTATACGCGAAGTTGACTGAACATACATCTGGCTTTGGAATATTTACAGTAAAGAAAAAGGACCAAGAAACTGCAGTAGGTATCGGTTATAGCGTGGGTGTTTGAAAAAACGACTTTCTATTCTTATTTCCGATATTTCTTACATACGATAAATATAGTGTGACGTATCATATGCATGTGCGCATAGCCAGGAAGATCATCATACATGCAACGTAGTGCTGCTGTGTATGCGGTTGCTCATACTTCCAAAGTAGTCCCATACTGGCATTACTGGGCCATAGGATCACCATGTGGCTGAGCAACATGAGCTACATGACCACAACAGATGCACTTGCAGCATTATGATGCAATTCGAGTCGGTTCAGAACTGTATCGGGCAGATGTTATTACTACAGGCGATACACTTTGTACTAATCTGGCATGTTTTGCTACACAAAGTCCATTCTTAGGACCGATATATTCCATTACACGATAACATTGCTTGTAAGAATAAATACACACATGAAACCCATGTTATGATTATGAAAATATGAGAGTTCATTCTTGTAGGCGGTATATTCTTTTACACGACCACACTATAACCGATACGCACTGTACAAGTTACGCTACAATTTGGATTATTTGCTTTTCATTGCTATCAGGTTCAGCTTCATTTTCTCTGTGCTGCGCTGATGAGTCCACAAAGGACGAAACAGTTCTGTCCGCAGATCTAGCATACCAGGAGGTAGAGGGAACCGGCTGTCCGCAACACACAGTGAACTTGCATAGTGACGCACACAGATATTCCCTATTTTCCGGAGTACGTGTACAAGCTGCGCTGGATCCCCACACGCAGATTCTGGGTCACAAAATAATGACATCCACCCTGTCTATAAGCAAGGATTTCAGAGACAGCAACTCTAATATGGCAATCAAGAGTACTAATTGTGCGGCAGCCATGCTTTGTTTCAATAGTAATAAACATGCCAGAGCAATGTGAAGGTGAACATGTACACGTGAAAAGAAAAAGAAGTGTTCAGAACGGTTTTCCCGATTACCGCCCGGTTAGTACGCTTGATTGTCGTACCCTCTTTATCATCGTGAATTCGACCATTGCAGTGCAAGCCGCACCAGGATATTTTGGGTAAATTACTGGTGTGTTTATGTGTTTAAAGTGCGGCTTATGCTCCGGAAAATACGGTAATTCTCTAGTCTGACTTGCTTGTATTCCTTGAAATTCGAATGTACATTGCAATGTTCATATCCGTTAAACAGTCTGGCTAGTCACCGGCCTCCCATTATCACGCACACGACATCACTGCATCATACACTACTCAACACCCATAGTCCCCTGAGTACAAGCCGCCCCCTTGATTCAACACAAAACAAAACTTTATCCATTGGGTTCAGTACGTCACACATGATATGAACTGCATAGAAAAAAGCAGAAAGTTCTGCAAGAGTGATTTTACTGCTGTCTCCTATCAATCACCTAAAGCCATTGGGTTCAGAACACCACACGTACGTTATGAACAGAATAACACTTTCTCACCCACTCCATATCGCGCTACACATCACATGGTAGTTGTGACGCTGCGCTTGCCACACTCATGGCATATAGCAGTACTCTCAGGGCAGGGCCAGTATCAATTTGCATAATTGTGATGATCGATTCAGTTCGTGAAACTCAAGAGTTACGAAAAAGCAACCGCTCGTTCTTCTGTCTGCGTGTGAACAGAACAGAGAGAAGAAAGTGCTGCAAGAGTAAATCTCACTGCTGTCTCCTAGCACTGACCTGAAGCAACATTCATTCCAGACGTTGGTTTCTGGAAGCTGGTGGAGCGAACGTCAGGCATGAATGTCTCGCTGATGTCACGTCTGGCCGGCGACTGGTCGAGCAGTGTCAGTGTGATACGGCGGTTAAACGGCCATGTCAGCAACGCATCATACTCACCAGCCATGATCACGAAGAAGATTGAGATATACTTATCTGGAGGCAAAGAAAGGCAAGGTGATTGAAAAATGAATATCGATAAGACCCTGTCCAAGAGAAAAATGTGGAATGGACTTCCGGGGGATTCCTACCGCGGGACCTGCATACAGCTGCTTGGATCATGGAGATAAAATCATACTACTTTTGATCAGCCAGTACTGAAGCCAGGAGGGCCAGCATCTCACAACATTCTCCTATATCAAATTACCTGTACATTCAATGCTGCATTCACTCCCACGACTTGATAACTGATGGTAGAGACATACCTATGAACTGATGGTAGAGACATACCTATGAACCGAGGGTGGAGACATACCTATGGATGCGGAAAGCTGAGTCCAACTGAATCTCACACGAACAAGGATAGTTTCCACTGCTGATCTGCTGTACAAATATTCGTACCCTGGTCTTGTTCTAAATGAGTGACCTCTATGTTCACGCTCTGCTTGAACCAGATACGATAGGATTCCATTCACCGGAAAATCTCCCTGAACACTGGCGGAGCTCTACTCTACTATGACTGAAACAACAAACAAGGAATTCGGGTAGACACAACCATTCCCATGGCGCTGCACATCCGAACCAGTTCCGGCATTTCACAACGATTCGGCACTCGGCCATCATCAGGTAATAGGAACAGTGGATACAGTGGAAGCCACACAGGAGCAGTATAATAATTATTATATACATTACACAGCGTGTAGAGCCAAAAAAAGATGTGAGCTACGTCACCTCTGTGCGGAGGGGCTGCAGTGCAATATTCGAAACTCACCGAAGCCAGCACCGTCACCGTTGGGGTACAGGCGAGCGCATGCCTTATAACCATGACGACTGGAGTAAAATGGCTGACTGTAGTGTGACGTCTGCAGCATCAGGGAACAGGGACACAGGACATGCAGGAAAGGCCAGATTAGAACACTACTGCGTATAATGATGTGCGATGCGGTGTTGTGCTGTGTAAATCATGGCATATGATCACCAAGCAGGAACATTCTATTCATGGAAAGCAAAACAACGAGTTTCTAAAACCTCTTCAAATCCATCACCAGTAGTCAATGGCTCCAGAAATCCACACAAACCAGTGTTTGATCGTTCCATTCATTTGAAATGCAAGCAACCAGAACCAATGAAAATTGTTCTTCCCGTGATTAGTTTTTTCCCCTAAAAAGCCGAACATTCTATTAATTTGAAACTCGGTATTCTATTAATTTAAAAAACTTTAAGAGCAGGATCACTGGATGGCTCCCCATGACAATTTGCGTGGAAATGTATTGCGGGAATGACTGGCTTCCATCCTGCATCAGCATTGTGTACTGGTCAAACCTTCCCTCACTCGGTCTAGTCGCGAATCGCGAGAATAATCTAATCAACTCCTTATTTGCGCATCGTGCGCCTAAATCTGCTATGCGTACTGCATTGTTGCACGCTGTATTTTCTCTTCGGGGTGCTAGTGCCGAATTGGGCCAGCACCGTACTCACCCTTTTTCTGTAGTATTCATATTTGATTACAATGTGCTCGTAATGGTGTTGCTGCTGTTTTCCCCCGAAACAAAGAGCTCTTTCCGGTTGGTAAAAGAGCTGCCGAATTTCTTCTTATCATCGACTTCATTACTTGAAATGATCTTACTCGTAGCCTTGACCAGAGTCAAGCTACAACAACCGAAGCTCTTGTTGTGTGTTATGGACTGATAATCGGCCAGTGATACACAACATTAGTACCTCAACTTGGTCAAAGGTGTGAGCGTAGTATTCCATTTCGGGAACCCAGTATACAAGAAAATCCACATAGGAGAACTCTTCTTTTGCCTGCTTTTCGCGCTAGCTGCTCACAAATTTCTTCTAAAGGCCTTTGTGATCATTCAACGCAGCCGAGCCCTTCCTACCTTGCTGCCGTTCTTTGCGGTCTCAAAGTGCTTCCAGAAGTTAGTGAACTTCCACATGAGAACGCCCGAGTAGGACGAAGTCTCAAGTTCAAACACGCGCAAGTCCAGGCTGTCAAAGCACTTCCTCCATGACGCCTCCGATGATGACGCAACCTCCTACATAGGAGAAACAAAAGCAAGCCTTGTGCCGTCAAATGGTGTGTGTTGTTTTGTAAAAAATAAAATAAAATAATAAAAAAGCAGATCAGCTAGTTAGTACCTTAGTTCGCTGCATCTGCGCCTTGATCCACAGAGGGTTGTGGCGTGCCTACGGATGCGAAACACTCGGCCTCCAGCCAAGCTTAACGCGAACCGCGTGTTCTCCCCTGATTATATGTCGCACTGTATTATAAGTCGCAACCCGATTTTCAAGTCAGAAACGGAGTAGTATCAATACATTCACAAGAGTAGGGAGTCACACTCGATTGTAAGTCGCAGCCCCTTCTTTACTCGGATTGTAAAAAGAGGTGCAATGTGCATTCGGGGAAATGCGATGCATGTACTGTTGCCACTAAGAACACGAAAATTAAGATTTTAGCAAGAGCAGACGACAATGATATGCACAGTAAGGTCGCATGTGCATTGATCTCGCAAGTCTCTGCATAGTTGGTGCTTGCACGCCAACACGCATGCAAGGCAGAGTTGCCATGGACTTGCGAAAGTGCCGGACCCACGATGAGAACTGCGACACAAGCCTTAGTTCACAATGCAAGGAATCTGTATTTGGTTGTACCTCTGAGTACCATGACAACAGGACCAAACACACACACACACACACACACACACACACACATACACACACAAACACACGTACTTGGTCCGCGTCAGCAATATTGTCGCTTATCTTTCGAAAATTTGAACTTAGACTTTGGACATCAACGCGTGCACTTGAAGTGATACAACTTGGTATGATGGAAGGTAAGGTATAGAATGACAACTAGCTAGGAGGAATTTATTGGCAAAGGAAGGCTTCATACTTTTTCGGTCCTCCTCGTCGCTGCTCTCGGCGCTGGTGACACATTTTTTTGCTCGGGATCGACTCTCTTGCTTTTTCAAGCTCATCTCTCCTCCGCTCCGCTGCCTGGCTATTTTCTAAAGAGAAGTCGATCGTGACGGTCGCCTTCTCTATAGAACTTCGCGTGGGCAGCACGACAGCCTGTGTAGTTCTAACCAGACACCGTTCTTTGCAAGATTTTATTTTTAACGACGACGACGCGTACAGTACTTGCAAATCTCCTTGTCGCTCTGGATACTCCGTGCGTAGAGCTGGAGGTGAAGGAGCTGCAATCTCTGCTTGACGAGCGATCCCTGCGGTGAGCGATCTCGGCCGTTCAGCAAAAATGGAGCTGATTCCGAGTAGCCAATTACTTTCTTGTGGCTTGCGCTGCTCTTGCCTGCACAGCGTAACAAGATCATCTATGTTGTTGCTGCGCTGTATCAATCAAAATCACCCACCCGTCGCTCTCGAAATCCACTCGAAATCTAGCTAGACCTTTCAGGTACTAGTAAACTAACTTACTAACCAAAATTGGGATGAAATGGGCTGCCAAGTGAGCATTGGCGACATATAAACAGAGCTGAAAGATAAGCGACAATATCGCTGACGCGGACCAAGTACACGCACACACGCACACACACACACACACGTACACGCACACACGTACACACACACACACATACCCACAAACACACACACGCACACACGTACACACACAAACACACATACCCACAAACACACACACGCGCACACACACACACACACACACACACACACACACACACGCACACACGTACACGCACACACGTACACACACACACACATACCCACACACACGCACACACACACACACACACGCACACACGTACACACGTACACACACAGACAGACACACACACACACACACACGTGTGCACTCACACACACACACACACACACACACACACGTGTGCACTGCTGCAATGCTGACAACCGGTCACCTCACCTTAGCTTCCCGAGCAGCCGTGACACTGGCCACTTCCATTGCGCCGACACGATGCTCGACAACACCAAGTCTCTGGGCTACGTCGCCCTGACTAGCCTCCTCTCCCAACAGTGAGTTGACGTCCTGCCGGAAATCGGCCATCTCTTTGCTCTGCCTTCCAAAGCCTACAGAGGAAAACAAGCACATAGACGTATTGCTCATGACAAGCAAGGTCCGGGTTAGAGTCCAGGTGGGGTTGGCATTTTTCTCTCTTTTCAGGCAGTTCACATCCCTGACAGATCCTCTGAATAAATGTAGTGTTTTTAAAATATTATTGCACGAGATCCCTGTAGCAAGTCATACAAACTGCTGCGTGCAAAATAATGAATTTGCTGTGTATATATGTAGGACTCAGTATAGAGTCCATGCACTATATGATGTCCACCACCCTATATGGAGTCCATTGGTCCAAAATCCACTATACAGTGTCCATGAGTCCACTCAGTTTTGATCAGCTTCATCCTGCCGCGCAATCCCCTATAAGGAGTACACTTTTTCTACAAGTCCCCTATTCACGGTCCAGGAGTCCAGTTTTTTTTTTATCCAGTCACGCCGTCCTGTGTGTTGTGCCCGAAAGAGAACAGACACCTTTTCAGTTTTGCTTGCCTCATGGCAGCGCATTCCTTTCTTTACTTCAGCCATGGCTGCCAGTTCTGCTGTGCAGTTGCTGACAGTAATCTGTATCGAGGTAACCAAGGAGGATAAGGAGACGTTCAAAATCAAATCTGGAAAGCGTCTTGTGGTTCTCTGAAGACGTTTCAACAATGCGCGGGATGAAAGCAGAAATTGCAGAACGAGAAAAGTTCAGCACAGTTCAAATCTGACGAGTCAGGTACACTGACACTCTCTTTCGTTCGACGCCACAAGGATCCCCTGTTTGGCTGGCCATTGCTGCCAGTAAGGCGTTTGAACGGTTTCATCAGAGCGAGGGATGAAAGCAGAAAGCGGAGAACGAGAAAAGTTCAGCACAGTTCCAATCTGACGAGTCAGATACACTGACACTCTCTTTCGTTCGACGCCACAAGGATACCCTTTTTGACTGGACAGGAGCTGCCTGTACCACCGTGTCAAAAGGCTGTCCAACTACATGGCAGGACGATGACTGAGGTAAGGAAGCTTTTACTCGTTTCGATTGGTCTGCTGTTCTGTCGTTATGCTTGATTTTTTTCCATTTTCAAGGATCGTATCGTGTTTGTTTGATGTTGCTTGAATGAATGCCCTAAAAGTAATCAACCACTTCGTAATAGTCCTCAAGGACTGCAAGGACTTTGCGTCAATCGTATACGATCGTCTAGCTATCATCAATTATTATTTTATTTCATGAGAAATGTATTTTTATCCCTGTGATAATTATGTGAACTCCACGACACTCTTCCTCTACTAGGCTCTAGTATGATGTCAAATACAATGGGATCCACAAATGCAGTGCCAGTGTACTAGTAGTAGTAGGAGGAGGAGGATTTCTTGTATGCCGATGACAAGAAAAAGCTTCTCAAGCTAATACATGTACTCGTATTCCATGAAGTAACCGTTTTGATGTCACAAACATGACATTGTGTCAGTGAAACTGCCTCGTGACAACAAATCATTGCATTTCCATCTTGGGGAAGACTGACTGACTGCAACGCTGTACAGATTGTTTAAATCATCTCATTTCAATTTAGTTGCAGTGAAGTGAAACACTGTGTATGCTACATGTATGGTGGTGTGTCTGTGCGTCTTGAGTGTGCACAAACGATCTTATTTCTCGTATTACTAATAGATTATTGTCCCCACCGTCACCTGTTCACAGGTCTTTGTGTGGATGGATTTTCATTGAGCATCACATTCGTTGAGAACTTGGTAGTTGTGTGCTCCCATGCATCATTACGGTAATAAGCGTATCCTTGTGCTATCTATTTGTTGCAGGTGTGCTGATCTTCAGAAGCTTGCGGAACTGAGTGCTGCTGAACATTTGCATGGCCATGAGCAATGGTGAAGCTTGCTATTGCACTCTCAGCATGTGCTAGTATTATGCTGACTACTGCACTATGTTACTCTCTTACACTACTACATGTATGTAAGCGTGCGTGCATCCGCCCACGTATGCATTCGTTTCGTACAATTATTTGTTATTCCTCTTGACTTTACGTGTAAATGGGTGGACGTTTGCATGGCTGTTGGAGTTGCGTGTGTATTGTGTCTCTACTCTTTTCTTGGTGTTTTCTTGGCTTTGTATAAATTTGTGTGTGTGCGTGCGTGTGTGCGTGCGTGCGTGTGTGTGTGTGTGTGTGTGTGTGTGTGTGCGCGCGCGCACAATAATTTGAAAACAAATAATTAATCCTTGGCTCTCCATTGTTCTCTTTCGATTATTGGTTTTTTCTAGGTATTTTCTTGGCGTTGTGTGGGTGTGTGCATGTGTGTGTGTGCGTGCACAATAATTTGGCAACCCTACATAATTGAGATATTGTAATTTGCAGCGTCTGCGAAGAGACCACTTGATTTGAGGATGGTGTTTGTAGGGTTTTTCATGTAATGAAATGGCTGCAGTGGCGCCTCAATACTTCTTTTTTTATCTTGAGAAGTAAATGATGTAAAGGATTAAAGGGAGAGGCCGTTTTCTGGTTAATATTCACTGCTTACAGCAGATCCTATGTCTAATTTCGAACTCTGGATAGGGGATGCCTAATTGGCTGGACTTTATACAGGGAGTGTTGTCCACATAAAGACTCCTTATAGTTGATTTCAAAGTTTGGACTCCATACAGTTGATTTTGGACCAATGGACTCTATATAGGGGTGAAGCCAATTGGCTGGACTCTATACAGGGAGTGATGTCCATCTAAACTTTGAGCTCACAGTTGATTCCAAGTTTGGACTCTGTACAGTGGATTTGGGACCAATGGACTCTATATAGGGGTTGGACATCATATAGGGGCTGGACGCTCTACTGAGTCCAACATATAGGTGGGCGATGTGGAGACAAAAACCCGGTCAACAGTGCACACCTTGACCCGATGGGTTTTATCCGACTTGTACTTTCCCGCCCGCTTGCTTGAGAGACGTATCCCCTCTCCCCTAACTCACTTGTGAGATCTGCATTCGAGACTGAGGATATATGCATGTAGGTGAAGTGGTGGCCCGCCGATGCGAATGTATTTGCTTGATGTGTTCCTCAACACATCGGGTGATGCGGCCGCGAATCCGGCTAACTTTACTTTGTACTGTTTTCATCAGCAGTTTGAGGGGTTCAATGCTCAATAAGCTGTGTCCGTTTACGACTGACAAAAAAACGTCCTTTTCAAAGCGAATTCTGTTCACCACCTGTCCCGGCATCTTTTATGTATCTATTTTTTTGTAATGACAAGTGACTGGACGCAACGCATGTACTGGTGTGGACATTGAAGTCCGTTGAGAAGCGACGCAGCCACGGGGCTCTGGCCTTGCAGCCGTGAGCACTGCCGCGCCATGTTTGCAGTGTGTATATGAACTTCAGTGCGTGTACTTCATGCTAAGGTAGTAAGGGGCTGGCCACGGTCATTCCACCGGATTCCGATATCCACAGCAGTAGTAATGCATTTTCTGTTCCTTTATCGCCCTGAACGGCACAAGCGACGTTGGCAAACCCGCTTACATTGCGAAGGTGCTAGCAATATAAAAAACAACAGTAGTATTTGTCTCGGATACTGAGCCAATAAATATAATTAAAATAGAAGAAATCACACGGAAACGTTTACGCCCTGTTATCGCACTTTCTGACTGCATAATATTATCTTGATATAGTCGTGGATAGTTGTTATATAACTCGTTTCCATGTGATTTCTTCTGTTTTTATTTTTTTAGTAGTACTTGTTGCTATCTTACCGTCCTTGACATCGCGTTCCATTCGGTCACACTTGGCTTTGACATGGCTCAACGCGGTGTGCAGCTCCCGGATCTCCTGGTCTTTGGCTACCAGGGCAGCGTCCCTGCCCTGCAGGTCCTGTCTCAAAGTGGTGATCATTCCAAACATTGCCTTCAGGTGATGAAGCATGCCTTCCTGGCTGCTGGTGTGTTCGTGGAGTTGTCTTCTCTTCACCTGTATTGCACGTGCATGATAAGCATAGCCAGTTGCATGTACACACAAACACACCAACATATACGTGCACGGACACATGCGTGTACACACATAACATGTACGTGCACGTAATTATGTGTATACACGCACACACACAAACACGCACAAACACACAATCACACACATACAAACACACACACACACACACACACACAAACACGCACACACACACACACACACACACACACACACACAAACACACACAAGAGAACATAACTGTCAAAGAGGTTCTGTAGAAATGCGCCAGGGTGCGCGCAAAGAAAAAGACCACAACCAACAGAAACAGATTGATCTACCAACAGAAACCGATTCAAAGCTGAGAAATTCTTGAACTGCATGTTCCTTGCAAAACCTGTGTTAACTTTAGATGTTACTAGAGAAGTACAGAAAACCCTGTGTTTGCTGTGTTTGCCGCACCCTGTGCCAAGCGGAATCCTGTATCGACCGGACAAATTTCCATGCACCAAAGTGCGTGTGGATCAGACGTTCATGCCTGGATCCAGCGGAGTCCTTTCATATCAGGACAGTTTCCGCTGCAGCAAGGGCGTCCGGTTAGGGCAGGACTCACTGTACTCCATTATACACCGTGTTTGCCAGACATGCGTGAACATTCTCAAGCCCAGGCCTTGCTTGATAGAGTAGCAAAATGTGGCAAAACAGGTGAACAACGGCTGATGTGCAGCTCATCTACAAGCCAGCAACACGTTTGCCACCCCATACAGACTAGCACTGGTTTGCCTCTTCATAGAAACTAGAACTGGTTTGCCAATCAATGCAGATCTTATGCGATGATGTCATTCGCCGATCTACCACTCAGTACAACGCTTATGTCATGAGGCCATTTGCACACCCATCATGCAGGGTCCACTAAGGTATGTCCATATCAGATATGTCAGGTATGATGTCTATTGATATCCTCTTTCGCTGCCGAGTTCCTGTTGCTGTTGCTACTCGTCCGTTTCCTCTCCTAACCCTTACTTACGTTATCGCCGTGGCTGACTATCACCCACTCTCTCCACATTGGCCAGTGTGTCCACTGAGCTGTGAGATGTTGTAATAAAAAGCAGTACCGTAAAGTACAGCCAGAGCGACCCGTCTCGCGAGAGCGCCCCCACCTTGATTTTACAGCCATTGGAAGAAAATCGTATGGATGAGTGCTACTAAGTTTGTACGGTGTGAGAACTTTAGTGTACTAAGGTCACAGGTGACATGTTCTTATGTAGAGCTGGCATCCCCTCGAAGGTAAACTGGGTACGGATTGCCTGCACAACGTGCAGTGTTTGTACAAGGTTCGTGTCGTATGACCTACAGACAGAAAACCACCTCCACAAGACGACCACGAAAGGACGAGATGGTGGGGCGCTCTGGCGGTACTTTATGTTAATAATACACATTGTAAAAACTTGGATGTTGAGCCAATAGCAATATGTAAAGCGAAAAGGACCTATAAGTTACTAGTTATGACCAATAGTCCACCAGGTGGTCGAATGTCTCAATATACTTGTCAGTTTTGTGCCTCGTTGTCGCACTATCTGACTGTTTATTATCTCGTTATCTTGGTGGACCGTTAGTCATAACTTGTAGCTTATAGGTCCTTTTCTCTAAACATAATAAATATTGTTTTTTGCTTCATGACACCCGCGTGATTCACCTACCCTGTCCGGGCAGCCATACGGGCAAGAGACTTCGACTTCTTGACACGTGTTGGCCAAGTGCTTCGTGGTGTCCTTGCGCGGAAACGTGGCCGTGCAACCGATCATCTCACAGCCGATCAAGCTCTCCAGGCAGCTCGTGGCAAAGTGGCGCTGCGCAGAACAGACGAGACCAGACCAGACGAGACCAGGCATCTATGTGTACAGTCACAGCTCTCTGCCCAGCACAGGCATTGGGGACAGTACCAGCTCTCTGCCCAGCACAGGCATTGGGGACAGTACCAGCTCTCTGCCCAACACAGGCATTGGGGACAGTACCAGGCTAAGACCCACTGTCTCTGCAAATGTACAACCTAAATTTACAGTCACGTGGGCAGGCTGTAATGAAGGGGTTATATTTACAATACAGTCAACTTCGTGTATAACGACACTCGGCTGGGCATTAGAAAAGTGTCCTTATTCGCGAAGTGTCGTTATACCCGAAGTCACATTATATGTATTACAGTTGGATAGGACTTTGCTCTGGGCATGAACATTCTGTCGTTATTCGCGAATTTTCATAATATCCGCAGTCGTTGTTAGCGAAGTTGCCTGTATATGCCATATACACCATGTATGTGTACACGTAGATCTACAACATGTCTAACTAACCAAGATGGGTTTTCTTTTTTTCTAGGCCGGAAAGAGAGAAGGGGGGGGGGGAGGGAGGGGATTGGCCGCACTCTCATTGGCTATATGCCTGATGCGACCTCACAGGACAATACCTGTGAGTGCACAGAACCTGTTGACGTTTGTACACGTGGTCATTGTGGTGTTGGTGTCTAGGCATTGCCATGCACCGCAGTAGGACAGACCTCTCTATTCCGGCAGCACAGTTCATCGGGCAGTATTCTACCGGATTGCAGAGGGCGCTGGACTAACAACCATCCATATTAGAATGCCAGCATGCATAATAATATATCATGTTGTTGAATCTGGGCCATATGCAATGATTAGGCTGACTATGGCACATACAAAACACTTCAACAGAAGATCAAGAACGGTTGTAGTATTCTAAAATTACCACTGTAAAACCAAGTTTTGGTTTTTCACTATCCCGAATCTTTCTAAAGGACTTGCTACGAGATTCGGGCAACAGAGATTAATCGTAACACACAATCTGTCACCACGTGAAGTACTGTTCTATTCGATCTTCGACGTACCTCCATATCCGCAATGGGTACGCTCTCGCCACACAGTCGGCACTTGGAACGTCTGAACTCGCAGTTCTCCTGCACGTGCGCCTCCAGCAGGTGACGCAGTGGCCGCGCTTTGCAGCCCAGCTTCGCGTTGATGCACTTGACGGGCACGTACTTGCACTGCGATAGATGCTCCTGAGGACACACGATCAAAGAATGATTGGGAAAGCAGATACCGTATTATCTCTAATATAAGCACAGTCTCCAATAATAGCACGTCTCCAATAATAGAACACCTTGGGGCGGCATTCAAAAAATAAAGTGCTCAGTCTCCATTATAAGCACACTGTGTAAATTCATTATCTGTACTGGCGGGAAAAAAACCTGAAACGTGTGTGTCTGACATGAATTTGGCATGGCAACATGCCTCTGAAATGAGGTTGAAATAATAATGGAACAGTCTCCAATAAAGGAACGTCTCAATTAATAGCACGGGGCGGAGGTACATTAAAAAAATAAAGGACCGTGCTTATATTAGAGATAATACGGTACTAGTATACCTACATGACTCGGGCTGAGAGCCAAAGATTAATTTATAAGAAAAAAGGACCAGACAAGAGGACCGTTGCCAGTGCCATGCAATGTTACCGCATGAGCTTATTGTGAAGTAACTGATGGTGTTAGTGGATATTATAGAGTAACATTTAGCTCCTTATGGATACGAGTTAAGAGTAACTCTCCAACACTGTAAATGGATACTATATACAGTCAGAAAGTGCAATAACTAGGCACAACACTGACAAGAGTACTGAGACATTCGACGTCCTGACACCTAGCTTCAACACATCTCCGTAGCGCTAACCGACAGCCTTCCAACTTGGAAGGTTCAAGGTTATGGAATGACCGAAGAGGGGAAGGCAAGCGATACAAAAACGAGCAAAAGCTACAGTCCCAACGGAACAAAGAATGTCGATTGTTACTGGACGATGACGAGACCAGTACGATATTTGACAAAGCGGTCTAACTACAATTCGAAGCAGCAAAGCAGCACACCACCCAATTCGAAGCAGCAAAACAGCACACCACCCAACTTGGGTGGGTCATAAATATCAAAGATAAGTAAAGAAAGGGGAAGCTTTGCGAAAACGAATTGTACAAGCCGAAAGCCAAACTCCTACAGTACTCCTCATGCATGACATTGTGATGGACTAGTTGACTACAAAACAAGTTGTATATAGTATCCATTTACAGTGATGGAGAGTTACTCTTAACTCGTATCCATAATGTCCTTTTCCTTTCTACATTTTTTTATGGCTCAACATCCGAGTTCCATTTAGCTCCTTGGTCCTCTTTTCTTCTTATACCTGTACACTATACTATGTAGATATCCTCACTATCTGTGCTTCACCACCATACAAAGCTGTATGGGCCACAGCCAGCTAAAACATGTCTTAGAGTGAACATTTTTAATTTTTTTATTCCAGAAAAATGTCACTTTACTCGCCAGCTGCTTGAACTAGACCGCCAAACAAGTGTGATAATATAGTTCAACAATACGCTATCACCACTGGTTGATGTATGAAGCACAACGTGAACACCCTCGACAAAATATTCCACCTACCCCTACTCCTTCCCCATTATCCAATATGTCCTGCTTTTAAGTCCCCTCGCTCGTCTTGGCACCTTCATTTGCTTCCTTGTTATTGAACACCTCTGCTCGTTAGGTCATTGCGAATTAAAATAAAATCAACAGCAACAACAACAAACAACGTTTCATCCCGTCACGTCTCAGAAACTTTACGGAACCTCAGACATGTTTTGGCTGACCTCGTTGGATATGTCTTTCCCAACATCTAGAACTGAGCTATCACCATACAACACTACTGAATAAGTACAAATTTTCGTTCACGAAATCTTTCGTTTGATCACTCCACCAGCAGGCTTGTTAGGCCATCATTTTTTATAGCTATGTTTCGCGTCGTCCGCACGCATACGTTTTGATATTTTTCGGAAAAAAAATCGAACATTCACAGTGAGTGCACGATCGTGCGAGTCATCAGTGTGGACAGGTTGCATACGGCGAAGCTGGGATTCAGAAATGGCATCTAGCCTAGGCCAGCGTTGGTAAATTGTTTTTTCGGCATCTGGGAGCAATATTCTATGAGCTTGCACCAGACCGCATTGATCGCCTAAGCTGAGAGAATGCGTCGTTCCGGAGCTCTTTGCACCGCTGCTGAAGTCTGAGTACAATATTCCAGCGAAGCATAGGCACCATGACCAACGGTTGCCTCCTCTGCCCAAAGTGAATATTTACTCATGCTGATAACCCAGATGTTGTGCTTCGATGTACGATTTTTCTTTCGAATGTACACCATGCATGAGCTATTGTGCTATGTACAGTGCATACACCTCTGATGAGCCTTTTTTTTATTATTTTGCAACTTTTTTTTTTCCACCTCTCGCATATGATTCTGGAAGTTGAACTGACGCGAAACATAGATATAAAAAATGATGGCCTTACGTACTAAATTTCGTTTTTGGTCGAGGTCTGTCACCCCGAACGTTCAGAAAAAAACTTTAGTTTTTGTACGTTATTTCGTGCCCCCTAACAAATTTAGCGAAAGTTAATTCCAAATGAAAATTTGTACTTATACAGTATCGGCCTTCTCAGACCAGCATAGGGCACTTACTTCCAGGTACTTGAGTGTTCCAGACCAGCCGCACTTCTCTATCCAGTCGCACTGCACCTTGAAGTTGCCAATCTCACGCTGGCAATGCTTGTCGGCAAATACCTGGCAACAGAGACAGGGAAAGGGCACGGCCGTCAGCAACACAAAATACAATGGCAAGAAAACCCAGTGGGGGCCAACCAAACATATTCTGGTGCGTGACAACACGCACAAACAACGCAAAAACTAAGCACAGACAGTGCACAAACAACACATAAACAACGCATAGAGCACGTCAGAGTCACAGTTAGAACTTACAGCACCAAGCGAAGTCCTGTCCACAGGACATATTGGGTCGGAACCGCTACAAATTAAGTTGGGCACATAGGCATATAGCAGAGCAGTCTCAAATAGCAAAACATTACACATCTCTCTGGGTAACACTGGGCACTCCTTGCGCTGAAGGCGTATCGGGAATAACGGTCAGACATGCATATTTGATGAGCCATGGAATGCAGACTTCTTTGCTGCGGAACAGAATTCTTTTGGACATCAGTCAAAAGCTTGCAATATTTCGTTTGCATGGGGGCTTTGAATGTCAGAAGACTGTCCTTAGGCTAACAGCCCGCGTGGCAATGCACGTCTTTCTCCAGTGGGCACTACGGCACGATATTTCCTGCTAAGGAGTCGTCCGCATTTTTCGAAAAATTAAAAAATCCGTCCTCGTGCAAAATTGTCTCTGACCCACCCACCCACCCCCCAATTTTTCCCATTAATTTTTTGATTTTTACCGATGCCCGGCTCGAAAATAAGAACTCCTGACCCCATGTTTTCTGACTGCACCTGTGTCAAGTACTAGTAGCTAAGTACAGTCAGTAGTAAGTCTACCGACGTCACGGCCATGCACCGCCCTACAACTACATGAAAAGTCATGTATCATAGTAGATACTGTTTGCGACAATCAATCCTACACTACGTCTACAGTACAGTACACAGTCAGCTATATACTGTATCAGTGCAACAAGTGTATCAAAGTCACTGGAGGGAAAAAAAAAAAGTACGAAAAATCAAAAAATTAAATTCCGCCAGCACTCTTGACCACCCACCCCCTTTTTGCCTGAGGACGGATTTTTTAATTTTTCGAAAAATACGGACGACCCCTAAGGGCGCGTTCAGACTACCGTGAATACCGTCAAACCGTGAAAGGCGATAAACTGTGAAGGACATTCGCACTACCGATAAACTAGCGTTACCGGTATGTAAGTTTTGCAGCTCTCACCGCGGCGCTGAGAAGGGATTTTCCCTTTTCTCAGCCTGAGCACTCTTTTTACCGCCGAAACAGTTTTACTGCTGCAGCAGCCGCGGCAGTAAAATATTTCCGCCGGTAATGTGCCAGTAACGTCACGTGATCAAATGACCTTGGAACTTTCCCATTCCGTCACTTTTTATCGGTAGTCTGAACGTGCCCTAAGCCAGTCCAACAGCACACCATCCATATTGTCCTCTGATCCGTCACACCATATATACTGCAGTATGTTTGCATACCAACTTGTAGGCTTTGGAATGTTCTTCCCCAGTTAAAGGGGGAAACCCAACTCGTAGGAAGAAGAACTAGTTTCGCTGTAAGCATTTCTATTATGTCGACAGGCATGAGTAAAATGTGAAACGATGATTGCAGGGCACACAACAAAGAGGAAAGAAAGGATTTGTTCAGAACTGTTTTCTTGCTACATTCATCGGTGAATCTAGGTAACAATGGAATGGGAACTACTTGAAACAAATCTTTCCTTTTCGTTGTATGCCCTGGAATCACCGTTTCATCTTTTACTCATGCGTGCCGACATTATAGGAAATGCTTATAAAGTCAGATCTCGCTTATCCAGTCCTCTTTTATCCGGATCCCTCGCCATTCGGAAGAGAATAGCTGGTTACAGATTTACAGCATATGCCATGCATACATACACTGTGTGTGTTCGATTATCCGGTTCCCTCGCCTATCCGGATAGTTTTGTGGAAAACGGATGTATGCGGTTAAGCGAGGTCTGACTGTAACGAAACTAGTCCTCCTTGTAGCTATCTTAAAGCTGGTGTCTCCGAAACGTTTGTTCGCCAACTCGTAAGCTTTGGAATTTTATTTCCCAGTCAAAAGGGGGAAAACCCCAAAGAGACACCTAGATAACAGATACTACAATTTATCGCCTTCTTAGTATTTGACCCCACTAATTTCCCTGATACCTAAGCGGTCAAATATATCGCGTATTTGACTGCTTAGTCAAATACACAATATATTTGACTACTTATATTTGACTCCTTAGAATTTCTTGGACTGGAATTTTCTCTCCAACTTAAAAAAAGAAATTTTTGAAGAAAGCAGAAATACACAAGATGGGATTTGAACCCACAACCATGTGAATCTCGGTCACTCTTCCTTCCCACCCAGCCACTGTGCTACCGATGCTGAACCTAGTTTAACCTTTTGAGCCCGGGCCCATTGAAAACCTCTGCCACGCAGTAATTTTTTTAAATTCACTCTATGTGAGCAAACTTAATTTCAAACGATTCTTTCATGTATCCTGAGCACAGAACTGTTTTTGTTTTGGAAATACAACAAAGATTACAAAAGTTATGACCGTTTTCATAAAGGCAGTTTTACGCGAAATTGGTATTTTGAAATGTATGCACGCGCATGTAACTTCAGTTCAAACGTACGACGCGACTCGCATTTTTTTGTTACTGTACTCGTAAATCCTAGGAGTCCTCTGTGCAGCGGTACAGCTCGACGCCACGCCACGGAAGAAACGCGGTATCGATGTAGTTCCGCACTGACTCGTGACGTTCTAGAAAGTTACACGTGTCACAATGGCAGTGGTCATGACGTGTCAGAACGTCACGCGTGCTCAAAAGGTTAAACAATGACCTTGATCCTGCAATGCCGTACAATTCGGTATAGGCTATAGTATAATACTAGAATTACAAGGATATGTCGTATATGAAGAGAAACTATTGCGTGGAGAACACGAAAAATAGATTATAGACCTCCTATACGTAAAGTACAAATGCAAGATTCTAACCTGTCTTTCTTGTCACCTTGCTATGTACTACTGATATCAAACCCAGTGGACACAATGACCCCGACCAAGAGTAAAATGTACTCAAACAAAAGTGTGCAGCTCTGTTGGGGTTTGGCCCACCGCGGAAATTTTCTGAAAATCATGAGTTATACCGTTCAAGGTATGTACACCAAGTCCGTAACTGCATGGACATAGCCGGGCTTCACGACACTTGCACTACCAGTATGATAGCAAGCCGCAGCCGTGAGGGAGTGAGTATACATTTTCGTATTCAAAGTGGCACACACACACACACACACACACACACACACACACACACACACACACACACACACACACATACACACACACACAAACTCGCGATGAAGGTAGTCGATCTGGCGTATGGCTTGCACAAATTCGTGGCATACGCTTTGAAAAAGGTGACGTCAACAAAACATTCCGCCGTGGATCAGACCAGCTGCGGAGTTGCACACTCTGGTTTATGATTGCGATTTTTGCCAGAACCCAGAAAAGCGCATACAGAATTAACAAATGTTACATGTATGCCGTATCTACCCAATTATAAGTTCCACAAGGTTATAAGTTGCGATCCATTTTCAGGTCTGAGCCAAGTTGCTTCGACACAATCACAAAAGTAGGAAATAGCACTTGATTGTACGTCGCCCGCCCTTCTTTGCGCTTGGAATTTAGTCTAAAAGGTGCAACTTACAATCGGATAAATACAGTACACATGTGCCATATATGTACCTTTCTGGCACGCATCCTACTTGCTCAATCATTACTTTTGCTTCCAAGTGTACGCAACGCTTTCGTCGGCACCCATTGTACATGTTGTCGGAAGGATGTGTGCGTGGCGGGGAACTACAAATTCTTGAATAGATTCTTGGTTGGATGGAAGCAAACCAACACACGAAGTAATTTAATCACCACTGTACAGGCGAGTAGCGCCGCCTTTGGAGGTGGTCGGGCAGGAGGGGGTCCGGGAGCGGTCCCCCGTGAAGATTTTGAATTTAGGGTGCAAAATCCAGCATTCTGGGCACTTTTGGCCATGGTCGGGCCAAAAGTGTTGCGGCCAAAGCCGGACCGGCCGGACCGGCGGCTACACCCCTGCTGTATTCGACTTGAAAAGTATTAAATGGTACGAAATAAATAATAAAAATATTTCACGGTTCGCGTGAGACTCGGCTTCCCCGAGTTTTCCGCATCCGCCGTGGGAACTCCGCCACCCTCAAGGAACGCCATCACTCTCTAGGATGGTACGAAAGGCCTAGTCTAAACTATTAGGGCTGAGTCGGGTAGCATTTTCTTCGGGTATCGGGTCCGGGTAGTTTTCCACGGGTAGCACGGGTACCCGATCGGGTAATGGTCCCATGGTAAGACCACAATGCACACCGGCCCCTTCCCTTACATACTAACTGTGACTTGGGTAGACATGCGTGAATTATTCGCACACGTGCACTGTAGTGTAGACCTCTAGCTCTCTCTACTCTTTCTACATGATGTCATCTGCGACTTCGGGTTTTCGGGTACGATTCAGTACCCGTCTACCCGAGGTCCTCACGGGTAGCACGGGTACCCGGCTACCCGTGCACACCACTATAAACTATAATGGCTTCTGTGCTTTTGGGAGCTGCAAAGAAACCACACAACCCACAAACCACTGACATCATGACATCAGCGACTTACTTCATAATCGGCATGATACAGGTGCGGCAATAGCGATGCCCGCAGCCTGTCTGCACAGGATCTCGAAGCACGAGCAGACATATCGGACACTTGTAGCTGTCCGGGAAGTGGTCGGTGAACTGCGCCTGATATCCGCCTTGCATTTGCCGCGGCCCGCCAGGGCTGGTCGGCGTAGCCATTACTAATCCGGTGTTGTCCGCGTTCTTCGCAACGCGCGTATTGCTCTCTATCAGTGATGGATCGAAGCGGCTCGACATCGCGGTGTCCTGCGTGGCCGAAGACGCGTTGGAGCTCAGGGAATCATACGGGGTGTGAGTGTCGCGTTGGTAGAACGGCATAGCCGCCGCCGACGCAGAATCCGAGGTAGGAGAACGTATATCATTGTCTCTGCCGCTGCTTCCTGTTGCACCTGCTGCACATTCATCCGTGCTGCCGACTTCTACCGGATATAAAGTTTCTGCAATGCACAAAGAAACGCAGTGGATACAATGAGACCATAATAAGTGAATATATCGAGTCACCGTGACTCCATCCAAACATACAAATCCATGGTTTCCGAAACCTGCGCGGGCCATTATCCAAAAGGTGCTGGGCATGCATCTTCAACATGTGAACACTGCTATAACGTGCACATCTACCTTCAAGTACGAGTGTCCGTTTCAAAACAAAATATCGTAAGTTCTCACCGTGCATTTCTGCATAATTGTACACACGTACAAGCTCTCACGTACACACATGCGACGGGCTTTTACTCTACTGGGGCAAATTGTTTGAGCACAATAACTCCTTTGATTGTGAATAAAATAAACTTGTTTTGTTTCCGCAGGAAGTAGATGTTAAGGGTTTTACGTCGGGGCCTAGACGACGGCTACAATGGCCACCTGGACAACATATAAGTTGAGGCCAAAGAGAATGATTTTATTTCTTGTGCATGCCTATGTATGAAGTGACGTAAGAGTTAGGAGCCAGGCCGCTACAGATGTACGGGCACAACTTGATTAATATAATAGCAAATTGAGTATTGGACAGTCGGTGATGTTTGGAAAACTCTGCATGGTGGAAATGTCTGGTGGATTTTCCTTCGAAACAAATCGAGCAGCCAGGACTAGATGTGCCATGCTGTGTGGCATGGATTATTATGGAGGTGATGGCGATGAGATGAGGTGAGAAGGTGCGGGTTTGGTAAAGATCTTAGATAGTAGTGGAGGTATGGTGCAAGGGAATTGGTGCTGGTTGATACAGGTGATAAGGAGTGAACCATAAGTGTAGGAGAGTAGATTAGTAGTGGGTGTTGGAAGGTGGAGTGATGCAATGGAAGTGTTGCACGTCGACAAAATTAATGTGAGAGAGAAAGTCTACGTAGGGATATAGATTAGAAAGAGATGTTGGTGCGCGTGGAAGGTAGAAGTGAGAACAAACTGTGCGCGATAGAATAATTGGTGCTGGGTTTTTATGGTGTGGTGCTGTATTCTGCAGTCAGGTAAAGAAAGTGAGAGAGGTGGCGGTCGGGACTAAAACACACCTGTGAGTGAAGGAATATAATAGAGATCAGCATAAAACTTATCCCATGGCTGGCTATAATCTCCTTGATTGGCCTTGGCCATGAGTGTGTGCGTAATAATAATAATATGCAAGGAGGTGCGTGCCGGCACTGTGGTTACCGTATTATCTCTAATATAAGCACGGTCCTTTATTTTTTAAATGTACCTCCGCCCCGTGCTATTAATGGAGACGTTCCTTTATTGGAGACTGTTCCATTATTATTTCAACCTCATTTCAGAGGCATGTTGCCATGCCAAATTCATGTATGACACACACATTTCAGGGTTTTTTTCGCCGGTACAGATAGTGAATTTACACAGTGTGCTTATAATGGAGACTGAGCACTTTATTTTTTGAATGCCGCCCCAAGGTGTTCTATTATTGGAGACGTGCTATTATTGGAGACTGTGCTTATATTAGAGATAATACGGTATGCTATGTTGCATTGCGTTGGGGGAGATGGGTTGCCGGGGTCAGGGTGTTTTGTTGTGATGAATGTGCACAGCGCCGTTGGCAAATGGTGGACGGAGATGCAAGCGTTACCACCATGTGTAGGGGTAGGTTGTGTATGTTACACACTGTGAAGGGTAATTCTTCCCCCCCCCCCTCCCCCTAGGCCCTGCCCCCCCCCCCCCCCCCCCCCACCGGCCCTGTCACACAACATTGCTACAACTGGACGACTTATACGATTTCTTCTCGACAACAAATGACGAGGGATCAAGAGGAGAACAGCGAAGGCGAAGAAAGAAAAGACCAAGGGAAAGGTGACAAAACAGCAAAGAGCCAGCAGTAATAATAAGTACGGACAAATTGAGACGAACAACCATAGACCAATACGTACAGAACACAAGACCAAGACCAAGACAGGTTTTGTACAACCAGACCACGGACGAATCGCTCATGACTCTCACTGATAGGACCAAACTAGCACCGCGTATGCGTGACTCTCTCTCAATATTTCGGGATGGGGCCAAAAGACCAGGTTAGGTGAACAGAAAATTAACGTGTGGAGAAGCAGTTCCCTAGTGGATTATGCGTGTTAGAGTCTGTTCGGTATATTGAAATTTCAGACGCACCGAAAGTGCCGAAAATAAAAGTACGTCGAAAATTTGTGAAATTACAGTACTCCTCTTGCATGCGTCGCACACCATACACGTTACACAGCACACCATACTCACACGCCACATGTACACTAGACCATAGTGACATCAGACATCAGACATCAGACATCAGACTCTACAAGATGAGAACCACGTACGACTACGCGCATAACTAATAGGTGAATCGAACTTCGTGACATGATATTTATACTCGGTTAGGATGTAGTGTCGAGAAGGACGCCTGAGCAACGCGAGCCGTACGCTTGCATCACACTTCAAGTCAGCACACACTTGACAAACTGTTACAGCCATCTGTTGAAGTAAGCTCACGGCCAGACGGTGGCTGCAACGAGATAGGTTGTCGATCGCAAGAGAATGTTTGGAGCGTGGAGAAGCCCCTGACTCGAGGACACCACTCTCCTCTTCTGCAGCATATCACTTGGACAACTGAGAATTCTGTCGGAATGGTGTATAAAGATGAGTGGATGGAGTGGCGGGGCAGAGCATATATGGGGTGACCAGACCCTAGCAGGACGCATAAGTAGCGTGTAGTGTGGGCTCTGGGTTTTTAGTCTCGCACAGCTGCAGAGTGTTCCTATGTGTATGCGTATTGCGGTCCCGTTTGCGGGCCCTCGCAGCTTCAAAGCCTCGTGCACGGACATGGTTAGAGCTGTGAACGCATGGTTGCCGCAGTAAGCAGTACGCGTAGTGAATCCTCGACCCAATGTGGACCGAGGGTAGTCATCACATTCATGTCATCCAGGACATGCATCATATCGAGCAGATCCGCGGCGCCCAACACATCCAGGGTGTCCAGCACATCCATTACCAGGGCATCCCGCAGATCCTCGGTCTCCAGCCCGGCATCCAGCAGCTCCAGGACATCCAGCACAGGCATTATTAGGGGATCCTTCGGATCCAGTTCATGCAGTTCATCCACGCTAATGAGCACCGACACGGTTACAAACATATCCCATTGCAAGTCGTCCACCAGATGCAGGGCATTCACCACATCCCGGGCACTCTTCCTCGCCGCCAGGGCATCCAGCCGATCCGGGACATCCAACGCAGACAGGGCATCCAGGAAATACGGGGAATCAGACACATAGATCACCATGTCATCGAGCATATCCAGGGCTTCCTCCAGATCCAGGGTGTCCAGCTCATCCAGGGCATACAGCGCATCCATGGCATCCAGCAGATACCGGGCAGCCAACAGACCAAGGACATCCAGCAGTTTCAGGGCATCCCGCAAAAAAACAACAACAACATCGTCAGTGGATAAAGAATGGATGGCCCGGGGCGGTGGCATGGATTATTATGGAGGTGATGGTGATGAGATGAGGTAAGAGGGTGTAGGCGGGAAAATGTCTTAGTAGTGGAGGCGTGGTGCAAGGGAATTGGTGCGGGTTGATACAAGTGGGAAGGAGTGAACCCTCTAAGTGTAGGAGAGTAGATTAGTAGTGGGTGTTGGAAGGTGGAGTGATGCAATGGAAGTGTTGCGCGTCGATAACTGTGAGAGAGAAAGTCTACGTAGGGATATAGATTAGAAAGAGGTGTTGGTGCGCGTGGAGGGCAGAGGTGGCAAAAAGCTGTGTGCAATATAGTAAGACAATATGTGTTGGTGCGAGTGGAGGGCAGAAGTGGCAAAAAGCTGTGTGCAGCAATAAAGTAAGACAATATGTGTTGGACGGTGTGCGTGGAAGGTAGAAGTGACAACAAACTGTGCGCGATAGAATATTCGGTGCTGGGTTTTTATGGTGTGGTGCTGTATTCTGCAGACAGGTAAAGAAAGTGAGAGAGGTGGCGGTCGGGACTAAAACAGGGGCCTGTGAGTGAAGGAGTATATTGGAGATCAGCATAAAACTTTTACAAGGAGGTGTAAGAAGACATTGTGGTTATGCTGTGTTGCATTGGGTTGGGGAGGGTTGGTGGCTGGGTGTTTTGTTGTGATGAATGTGCGCAGCGTTAGCAAGTTGTGGACAAAGACGCACGGTGTCCTGGACACCAGCTGTTATGTTATGTAATGTATGATGTCATTAGTTGGCCACGTGTACTCGCGCACCGTACACGTTGCACTCTGTTCTCTTCCTCTTGACCATGCTGTTTTCCTGGTCAGTCGAACTTTCCCTTTCCATCTCTGACAGTATAATGTGATAATATTGTTCTCCTGCTCGGCTTGTCTTTGGGTGGCTGTGAACATAACACCGGCTGTTTTCCTTTCGGCCGTTTGCTAGTATATCTTCTTCGGGTTTGCGCCTGGGTGATGCGCTGCATGATACATATCCGTTGCCAGGGTGATGCGCTGCATGATGCATATCCGTTGCCAGGGTGATGTGCTGCATGATGCATATCCGTTGCCAGGGTGATGCGCTGCATGATGCATATCCATTGCCTGGGTGATGTGCTGCATGATGCATATCCGTAGTCTGCAAGCCAAAACCAATTTTGATGCCGCATAGAACTAGAGATGCGTCCGTCCTCCCATGACACGACATCGGGCGAGGGAAAACGATCGGCCTTGCAGCCAACCTGGGGCCATACCACCCCTCAGGAGCTGGCTCCCCGGTCTGTGATTAATATGCCGCCAAGTCGGCCAGCCATTTCCAGCCCCCTTATTAGATGGGATGTTCCAAAGGCCAGGAGGGGGGGGGGGGAAGGGTTGGAACACATTGTTGTGTAGAAGTAGTTCCAGTAGCTCTTTGAGGTCGACTGATGTTTATTTTATTTATTTATTTGTTTATTCACAATCACGTGGCACTAGCCAATGAAAAGGTGATGTGGGCGATAGCTAGCCATGGCGGTAATAGCGGGG